GTATTGACTTGATGGGAGGTAGGGTTCATAAACACATTCGTTGTCCAAACCTTCGTACTGACTTGATGGGAGGTAGGATTCATAAACACATTCGTTGTCCAAACCTTCGTATTGACTTGCTGGGAGGTAGGGTTCATAAACACATTCGTTGTCCAAACCTTCGTGTTGACTTGCTGGGAGGTAGGGTTCATAAACACATTCGTTGTCCAAACCTTCGTACTAACTTGATGGGAGGGAGTGTTCATAAACACATTCGTTGTCCAAACTTTCGTACTGACTTGATGGGAGGTAGTGTTCATAAACACATTCGTTCTCCAAACCTTCGTATTGACTTGCTGGGAGGTAGTGTTCATAAACACATTCGTTGTCCAAACCTTCGTACTGACTTGATGGGAGGGAGTGTTCATAAACACATTCGTTGTCCAAACCTTCGTATTGACTTGCTGGGAGATAGGGTTCATAAACACATTCGTTGTCCAAACCTTCGTATTGACTTGCTGGGAGGTAGGGTTCCATAAACACATTTGTTGTCCAAACCTTCGTGTTGACTTGCTGGGAGGTAAGGTTGTATTGCGAATACCAAAAGAACCAGTTACTCTTTCCTTAATTAATCATTACTTTATTGTTCAAATGATTTCAGGGCCAAAATATTTGGTGTTTTAGCGATTTCTCAATCACTGTTCTGAATGAAAGTTAGGTTTTAGTTTTGAGAACCAATAATTGTGATACATAGCCTAAAAAAAGCGAGTTAAAACAATTTAGTTTTGAGAACCAATAATTGTGATACATAGCCTAAAACAAAGCGTGTTAAAACAATTTAGTTTTGAAAAGCAATAATTGTGATACATAGCCTAAAACAAAGCGAGTTAAAACAATTTAGTTTTGAGAACCAATAATTGTGATACATAGCCTAAAACAAAGCGAGTTAAAACAAAAAACAAAAAATATGCAATCTGTGGCAATTAGAGAAGTCAAACTTTGTAACACGGGAAGAATTAAGAATGTTTATTTTTTATTTTTGTTCTTGTTTTTGTTTTTTTCTGTAGTATCACACGCCCTTTCAGCTGTGGGCGCGTTATAATGTGACGGTCAATCCCACTATTCGTTGGTAAAAGAGTAGCCTAAGAGTTGGCGGTGGGTGGTGATGACTAGCTGCCTTTCCTCTAGTCTTACACTGCTAAATTAGGGACGGCTAGCGCAGATAGCCCTCGTGTAGCTTTGCGCGAAATTCAAAAACAAAGAAATAGACTTAAGAAAATCAAAAAATGTCCTACTAAATATTTTCCTACTACACAGTAATATCAGTAATTTTTAAAATAAAGATAATTGTGATCCGAAAAAGATATTTCTGGTCCAAAGTATTACAATTCACTGGGAATGCTAAACAAAATTTATAAAATCTTAAGTTGAGAAATTTTAATCATTATCGGTCAATTAACAAGTCAACTTTGTAATTTTTCAGTCAAACGATTAATCTCTGGTCCAATATATGTATGAATACGCAAACGATTAATCTCTGGTCCAATATATGTATGAATACGGTGGTCAAATTAAAAAAAATATATATTGACTTAGCCATTTTTATACGTCATATATATAGGGCTATATTAAGTTTCAACAAAGAAAATGTTTCTTTAGTGGCCCGGCATGGCCAGGTGGTTAGGGTGCTCGACTCGCAATCTGAGGGTTGCGGGTTCAAATCCCTGTCCCACCAAACATGCAAAAAAAATCTGATTGTCACTGCGATAACGCATGATAGAGTCTGTTGTTAAGAATTTCAAAATGGTAAGAAAACAAAATTGGCTGGGCGTGGCCACTGGTTACCTACCAAAAAACTGTGAATCCGAAGATTCATAAAAATGGGCTTTAAAAGAGTGCCAGTCAGACAAGAGTAGCTCAAGTGTTGGCGGTAGGTACTGTTGACTAGCTGCCTTACTTCTTTGTTTGTTTGTAATTAAGCACAAGCTACACAATGGGCTATCTGTGCTATGCCCACCACGGGTATCGAAACCCGGATTCTAGCGTTGTAAGTCCGCAGACATACCGCAGTACCACTGGTGGGCGCCTTACTTCTAGTCTCTCAGTTCAAAATTAGGGTTAGCTGTGTGAAGATACACCTTTATGTAACTTTCCGTGATA